CTTAACTTCAACAGAACGTAACTCACATTTTACATATAAAGTCATTCTTCCTCCCATTTTAATACTCTTTCTCTATTAAATAGTTTGTAACTATATTTCAAATAAATTTCTGTCATCAAAATCATCTAAGTTTAACCATGTTTCAGTTATTCCCATTATATCATAATCCTCCATTCTTACCAGTGCTCTAAAGTCATCTATTTTATTTCTTATACTTCTAGCATTACAACAGTAACAATTAAGCCTATCCTTATAACAAGTTCTATACTCATTTCCTATGCTAATTTTTTATCTGCCTTTTTGCATTTAGTTTTTCCAGGCTCTCACCACTGTCTAGTCCTAGTTTAAAACTTTCCTTACAACTGAGTTAATAGCCTTAGCAAACAAGCCAGCCCCTAATCTATTTAAATGTAAACCATACATTCCAAAAAGGTCCCTTCCTCCACTGAACTGCTCCCATAAGTCCAACCTGCCAATCTGCTCATCCTTACAAGTTACATACTAACCTAAGCCTAACATCCAACCCCAGTGACCTACTTATAACTTCATACCTACAGTTAATTCTGGGCAGTATCCCTGACAAAATTAAGTTATGGCCTTTTTCTTTAAATGCTATTATCAACCCCTTGTACTTATTAATTAGCTCCTCTGACCTTCCTTTCCCTACATCATTAGCCCCTACATGCACCAACAAAACTGCATCTCTGCTAGATCCCTTTATTATATCTCCTGCTTTATCAGTTATATCTCCCACCTGTGCCACTTGGTAGTATAATCTCAATCTTTTCTCCCTATTTATCCCACAGACTGTCCTATCCACATTCCTTGTCAAGGAATCACCTATAACTATAAGTAACCTCTTTATCATCCATATCCTTCTCTGACCCTTTTGTTTTCCTTCCCTCTAATAGTTCCTCATCTGCAGAAGCCAAGGGCTGAAATTTGTAGCTCAATATGATTCATATGCCATGGTTACATCATGGTGTTCCAACTCTATGATATTGAAAGTTCAAACTTCATAAGTTCATTATGTTCATACTTACATCTGTAGAAACCAAAACCATTTTGCCACTTCTAATAATTAAAGCCAAATAAGATCACCTGTGGAATGTTTCAAATTATTTTACTTAAAATGTGAAATATATTTTCATTATCAAGTAAAAACTATGTCACTGTTAACTTTTGTCTCTTTTTCACAATCCCACCTGTAAATTCATCATAATGCGTTTAGCTGTAGCCAGAATATTATATCTGTATATAAGACTTTGGCGCGTTTCATAAAATCTGCGCGTTATCAACTTTAGGGGTCGTTTAAATATTACATACGCAATTTTAAGATAAAATTTAAAATGTCTTCTTTTTAATATAACAAAAATGGGCGCCCACAAAAATATTTTCAAGGGGGGGGGGAAGCACATATGTAGGGGATCATCTTTTACAGTGTAAGCCAACAAACTAAAAGAATATGTGTTATTAATGCTTAAACGCGAACACAAATTTGCAATTTTAATAAAAATTACTAAAAATATTTAGTTTAACTATGATGTTAAGTTTACATCTTAATATGTAAATTTTTTGTGAAATGTAAGGGGGCAAAGGCCACCTATTGCCCTTTCCTGAGGGCGCCCCATGGTAACGCACAGTATATATAAGCCACCCCACCCTTCTCAATTGCGTGACGCTATCATCCATCTCTAAACCACACATACATACGTAATAGTTATGGTTTAAAAACCGAGTTGAAGGTGCCTTTAATCATTTACCTATCCAAATTCAATTCCTATTTTATCTAATTATCATTGTGAAAAGTGCAGCGTTAATATTCTATTTCATGAAATGACTTGAAGGTATACTACAGATATTTGTGACAATTTTAAATCTATAAATGTGATTGATAGACATGTCATATGACAATATTAGCTGAAGGTATACATAGGTAAATATTGTTTTCTTCTTCTTTCCTATATTACAATAAGATTGTGTATCATTTTACATTTCTAAAGGCCAGTATTGACTTCAATAATACAGCTTGTTAGAGTAACAGTGACAAACAGACTGGCCCGGCATGGCCAGGTGGTTAGGACGCTCGACTCGCAATCTGCGGGTCGTGGGTTCGCATCACCATCCCACCAAACATGCTCGCCCTTTCAGCCGTGGGGGCATTATAATGTGATGGTCAATCCCACTATTCGTTGGTAAAAGAGTAGCCCAAGAGTTGGCGGTGGGTGGTGATGACTAGCTGCCTTCCCTCTAGTCTTACACTGCTAAATTAGGGACGGCTAGCGCAGATAGCCCTCGTGTAG